CGCGCGTCCTGCCGGGGGGGGGCGGGGGTGCTGTCACCGACCCGGGAAAAGGGACTTCGGGTTTTACGCGTTTATTTTGGTAGCGGTGAGCGGCGCGGAATCGTTAGAGAGCGGCGTCTTCTCGCCCCGGAGGAGCCCGCAGGGACGATCTGGGCCGGGGGCGCCGGCGGCGGGCTGGACCCCGTCTTGGGTGCCCTAAAGGCCGGCACCCGGCACGCCTGTCATCCAGCATTCCGGGAGGCTGAGGCAGGAAGACCGCGAGTTTGGGCCTGGCCGGGGCAACTTAGCGACCTAGGGACCCTGTCTCAAAACAAACGGCAGGGCCAGGGATGCAGGGCAGCGCGAAGGGCCTGGCTCCACCCCACGACTGAAGCAGAGAGGCCGCGAATTCGCAGAGCCGCGCTCTGACTGTTCTTCTCTCCGCAGGTTTCCCTCCTCGCTGTGCGTGGGCCTCGGCCAGGTGAGTAGGCGGCAGCCTGGCGCCCAGCGGGCTCCTCAGGCCTCGCTGTCGCACAGAACAGTGGCCCTGTGTTCTCCGTCCACAGATGCTGGCCACCGTGGCGGTGCTGTGGGTGGGGAAGGCGCTGAGAGTGGTCAAGTTCCCTGATTTGGACAGAAATATACCTCGGAAGGTAAAAGGGAGAGGCAAGAACCACTCTGTCCTGTGGGCCCGGGTCACTGTCGGTGACTTTCTCGCTGCCTTGCGTGTTTAAAAACTGTAGCCCTGACATCCCCCATCGCAAGTGATCCAGCTCTTTAAAATTCAGGAATCTTCTTCTGTTTTAATTTATGCATCCCTGCTGGGAGTGCCAGCGAGCTTTCTCCATGCCAGTTATGCCACACTCATCACGCTTTGGTTACTGCTCCTCTGCCCGCCTCTGCTGACTCCAGGACGGTAAAGGCCCCTCCTGCTAAGCGCGGAGAGCCAGGCTGCTGTCCGATCCCATTTTAAAGCAACTACTGTCTCTGTCCCTTGCCAGTTGGTCGTACTCATATTTCTGTTTCTTTCCTTCCCTCCCCTCTTCCCTCTCTGCGGCAGCAAAGGTGTGTTAGTGTTGTCCGGTGCTTCATGGGGGTTGGAATTGCTTGTGAGAACTTATGTTTCGGATGGAAAGAACTTGATTATGTAAACAGAATGGTTTCTGTTTGCAAGGACTTTGTTTTAGCTATTTTTATTATTGAGTTTTGTTATCCCCTTTTAAATTTTCTAGACGTTTCCACTACCTCTCCTGTATTTTGGGAACCAAATCACGGGACTTTTCAGCACAAAGAGACTGAAGTACGGATAACTTTATTTTACTAATAAGGTTAATGTAATGTATTCTTAGAGTTGTCAAATGTCCAATATGATTGTGTTGTTAATGATTCTGGAAAAAACAAAATGACCAGAAAACTTCTGTTAAACATTAAATAATGAAGGTTGCCCCACAGGTTTTAGGTTAAGCTCTTCTTTTGAAAAGAAAGAGTAGTTTTTTGGTTTGTTTTGCCCCCCCCACTTTGATGTGAAAAGACTTAAAATGTTGTACAATGCTGTGATAAGAGATTTTCATTATTTTACGAGCCCTGCAATGGTGAGCCATAGGGTGGGCTTCTGGGATTTCAGTTCTTTAATATGAATCAGAAATAGTTGAGGCAAATTTCCCACCAGGGATTCATAGAATGGACATGAGAATGGTCAGTTTTTCTTTTCGTGGGAAGCAGTTGAAATCACTGGGAGGCAGAGCCAGCGTCTCCCCGGTGCTTTCTCTGGGCTCCCTCGGAAGAGCCGCCCTCAGCTGTCGGCCCTGGCAGTGCTGTCTGTGCCCTCCCGCTGCCCTGCTCAGGCTTCTCCATTTGCTGCGATGCCCCGGGCATGTGTGAGGCTCCGACCCAGTGCAGGGGCCCGCATTTGAACAGAAACCCCAGCTTCCCCTGCCCCCAGGATCGGGTGACTGTGAAACAGAGTAGGAGATCCCTGTGGGTCAGCGGCACAGCATTCTCCACTTCCCACTTTTCTGAACCAAGAAGCCAACTGAGTCTAAGGCTGTCTCTGGGGAGAGTCCCAAGGGAGTCCCATGTGTCTTGGGCAGGCCACCTTTGGCCATCTCATCCCTGCCTGGAAAGAAATGCAGGGCTGCTTGGAGATTTTTTTTTTTTTTTTTTTTAACCCACTGTCATCCATCCATCCACCCATCCATCCGTACTCCCTCCACCCATCTGTCCATCCGCCCATTCACACCTACCTTTGATTGCCAGCCAAGTGGAAGGCTCTTTGGAATGAGATGGGTTTGAAATACCTGGATTGTAAGGGGCTGGATGTTTGATTAGTACCAGCTGAGTGCTCCGGGAGTTTAGAGACTGCCGCTGGAGGACAGCTGAGGAGTGCTCCCGGGGGAGAAGTTTTCATAGATGCTTTTGAGAGGTCTGAGGAATGGAAGGGAAGTCAGTCAGGTGAAGAAGGAGAAGTAGCCATTTTCCCTGGAGACTGGGTACAGTCAGCGCATTTGTGCAGTTAGCAGAGTGCAGTGAGGAGGGGTTACTCCACCATCGCTACCATTTTAGTCAACATAATACTTCTCGCTTTTAGTAGTTTTCTTAAAGCAACTTTTTAAAGGCTTTTAAATTAGAATTATTTCTAGAGAGAAGGGTTTAATTTCATCCCAGTTAATCAGCATAGAATTTCCATAATGGAAGAAAGAGTTTAACATTATTTTAACTATCAATTTGGAAAATCTTTGTTTTAAAAAAATAAACTGTTAAGCTTTATTTCATCTGATTTTCTTTATTCTTGCAGCTTGCCAATGTTCACAGTCCTGAGAAGGTTCTCCATCCTGTTCACGATGCTTGCAGAAGGCGTTTTACTCAAGTGAGCTCTGTTTCTAACGGAGGCACTGGGAAGCCTGTGTGGGATGCGACATCAGCGTCTCGCTCCCCTGCACCCTGTGCAGCCTCTGTTCCCGGGCGTAGGGCTCGAGGGTAGGCAGGAGGAACAGCGTGGAGAGCCCACAGGAGTGTCCCCTCCCTAGAGTCCAGTCCAGCCCGAGAGGTGGGGTGTAGGTCCTCATCCCGTGTGGTTACTTTTACTGCACGTGTGCTCCTTCGTACTTAAAGAACCCTGACCTATGAAATGTCCAAGTCACTAATAATAAGTAGTAGAAAGAAAAAATGAAAATGACTCTTTGTGTAGCAGAATAAGTTTTTAACCTCATCAGAGTTTTTCTTAAATATATCATTCCTTGGAAATGTTTAAATATGATTGTCTATATCTTTTTTGAAGAAAAAAATACCTTTTTAAACCTAGGTTGTAAAGAGTATATGAATAACTAAAGTCACATGTATGCATTTTTTATTTTTTTGTTTTGTAGGAAGACTTTTTCTTGGGGTATTAAAATGACTGTATTTGCAATGATTATTGGCGCCTTTGTAGCTGCCAGGTAAGACATGGCCCTATAAGTAGCACATTAGAAATAATCAATTATTGATAGAAAATCATCAGTTATCAATAAGAATAATTCCTTGTAGCATAAATAAGAATCTTACCTTTGAAATGTATTCAGAAGACTCTAAAAGGCTAAATCTTTTAGGCTGTTTTAAGATTAAGGCTAACAAGGTAACCCTGACACTGAGGATTCGTGAAGTCTTCTGGGTACTGATCCTGTCCCATGTTGTGTTTAGCACCGAGCACATGGAGTTCATGTATTCCTTACTACAACTTTGGGAGATCAGGTGTACTTTTCCTATCTTATAGTTAAGGAAGCGAAAATGTAGGTTGTGTAACCTGCGGGGACGTCGCAGGCTGGTCAGTGGGGAGCTGGGACTGAGTCGGTGTCTGACTTTGGAACTTGAAGTTCAGAAACCTCATGGCCTCCCCTCCCCTCCCCTCCCTTCCCTTCCCCCCACTCTGTGTGCTGTTAAAGTAGACAGCTTCGCCCCCGTGAGGTGAGGTGCGTGCGGGCCATTCGCCTGTGGGGCGACGAATCGTGATAGCATTGCTTTACTTGGCCTCCCTTAAGATAGAAATATCCTAACCTGGATGTGCAGTTGGGCTTCTGACACTTTTCTGAAATTACGGTTTAAAAATACATGGAGAGAGCACAGAGCGGTGATCCTGTCTGAGGAGAGGACAGGGCCAGCTGCCCCGATTGGATCTCTACACTCGAGCTCACGGCAGACTTGGCGCACTGCTCCCGGACACGCGCAGTTGTCGCCCGACCTCCGGACGGGAGGGTGTCACACTCAGCCCGGGGTGCGCCGTGGGCGTGCGGGGCCACCGTCTCCAGACAGTCTCCCTGCTGGGGGCTTCGGGACTTCCACCCTGTCCCTGTGGCGTGAGTGGGGGACGCAGAAGTCAAATTGTTTCACCTTAAAATCTCCGAGTGAAATTTCACACGAAAGAAAATACCCACCCACCCTGCCAGCCATACACACTGGAGAAGGCCGGGACCTGGTGCCCGGATGCCGCCCAGGCTCCCCTGGCGCCCCATCCTCACGGACAGCCGGCCCTTGCCTCCGTCCCAAGTGCCCCGCTGGCTGTCGGTGGCCTCGGGATGAGTGTGGGCTGCGGAGAGCTGCGGGAGTGCTGCTGCCCGGACCGGCCTCATGGATTGGAACCGTGACTTGCGGGAAGGTGGGAGAGGATCCAAAGTGGCGGAGGCTCAGGCGCCGTCCGAACTGCGCTGTCCCCTCCGGTGTGCGTCCAGCCCCGCGGAGTGTCTGCGGCGTGCTCTGCTCGCCTGTGTCCCGTTCGACTTCCTGACTTCCCATCTTGTGCCTGTTTCCCTGCTGAGCAGCCGAAGTTTTTCTCTTCCCGGTCTCACTGGTGGTGCTCCATAAACGCAGCGAGCAGTTAGCTGTTGTTTCTGCTTCAGCGCTGCTGCTTAGACGCTGCCACGGCCGATCTCACGATGAGCCCCGGCTTCGGAAGGCTGCCATGCACACCCCTTGTGCAAGCCCGGCCTGTCTCTCCTGCGCGCCTTCGGGAAGTGAGGGGCTGACAGCTTCGTCCTTTTGCTTTTCTTGCCTGTGGAGTCGGTACCTGCGCCTGCCTCCAGACGGGCGGTGGGGCCGAGTGGGTCGCGTGTTCCCCGACCGCAGCCAGAGCAGTAGGTGGTAGCGGACGTCCCGGTTATCAACCTCCAGAGGTGCGGCAGCCTCAGGGCCTCGGGTTCTAAGGAGCCGGTGACTGAGTGTGAAGTCAGCAGTGTGACCAGGGGGAAATGCTCGTAGCTGGTAAAAGCCTCATGTGCACGGCCGCAGAGAAGAATATGCTCCTGCGAGTCACGTAGTTGGAAGTCGCGGGAAATGAAACGCGTTTCTCTAATGTAGGCTGTTCTTAATGTGTTGCTTATGTTTTGCAGCTCGGACCTGGCGTTTGATCTGGAAGGATATGTTTTCATTTTGATAAATGATGTCCTGACGGCAGCAAATGGTGCATACGTAAAACAAAAATTAGACTCGAAAGTAGGTAGCAGTCTAAAGCTGTTCTGTTAGACGTTTGCTGGTGTTGGGAACTGTGCTGTCGGCTCATCCGGAAAGTGTGGGATAGAGAAACAGCGATTGACTGGCTGTAGATCGTACTGGACATTGTACCCAGGGCCTTTGCACTGGGGAGCTCCATCCTCAGTCTCATCTTTATTTTTATTTTGAGACAAGGTCTCGCTGAGTTGCTAAGTTGCCCAGTGGGGCTTGAACTTGCGATCCTCCTGCCTTAGCCTGCCTGAACAGCAAAAAGGCTTTTCAAGATTTTTTTTTTTTTGTTACTACTTGCTTTCCAAATATACACATTACACTTCCTCTCTAGATAGAGCCAGACCATCAGAGAGCTGAGGCTTTGAGCTGCGTCTCTTGCTACAGCAGCAGTTACTTTCCTGAGAGCACTGTGTGGGGCTCAGCTTTACGTAGCCAGCGTGGCTGTGGAAGGAGTGGCGCTTGATCCTTGGACACAGGAGATACTCAGCTTTGATGTCGCCACAGCTTATCCTGAGCTGCTCACACATTTCTGTCCGCTCCCTGAGCCTGTGCCTGACTGCTTGTGTCTCACTCTGTGTGCACTTGCATCCCAGCCTGCGCGGCCTTTCTGCCCTTGACGCCCTCTCTGGGTGGTGGACAGACACAGACCTGCCGCACAGTGGGGCAGTGCCTAACAAGTGCAGATGGTTTGTCTGTCCCAGGAGGAGGCACTAGGGAGTGGAGATTAGGCACTCACACTTTCTGCGAGCACAGCTTTTAGGTCTGGCCTCTGTACGCTTGCCTTGACAACCCTGTCGTGGTTTGATTTGAGTGAACTTTTTTTTTTCTGTTACTGGGCATTGAACTCAGGTCCTTTCACTTGCCAGGCAGACATGGTGCCGCTGGGCTCCCAGTCCTTTTTTTTTAATAAAAGAAAGCAGTTAGAGATTTGGTCCTACTCTGTTTTGTCCCTTAGCCTGTGTGCTGCTTTGGGCAATAGACAGTAATGAAGACGTCGCTAACAGCTGTGGCTGTCAAAGCCCTACTGTGCAGCAGCAGTGTCTGTGGCGATGAAAGTCATACTTATCTCTGCCATCCATCGTGGAAGCCCTAGACGCATGCTGATGGGCACTTGCAGAGTGACTGGTATAGTGGAGGAGCAGGTCAGGATTCCCATGCGACCATTTTAATAGCTACATGTGGCTAGAGACTACTATTTTGGACAGCAGAGTCTAGAATATTTCTTAGAATCTAGAAAAAAAAAATGAAGAGTTTCAGAGTATTTTACTCCTAAGAAAGAGCCCTTTGATTCTTCATTTAGAAATGCCTAAGACTGACTTGTATTAGAGCTTTTAATTTTTTTTTCTTCATTTTTTTGAGACAAAGACACACTATATAATCCTGACTAGCCTTGAACTCAGTGTGCAGATCAGGCTGGCCTCAACTCAGGGTGATCCTCCTGCCTCAGCCTCCTGAGTGCTGGAATTTCAGACGTGCACCACCATGCTGGGCTTTTCAGCATTTTGATTTGCCTCTCCTGGTTCATGGGTTATAAGCAATAAACCAGAGGGCATTCCGTTTAGAGGTAGAGGCTCGCCAGTAGTCTGAAAGGTGGCCACCAAGAGAAGCAGGAAACTGTAAGAGAAAGGAGTACCCAAGGCCCACGCTGCAGGAGCACTCACTGCAGTCCTGTCAGTGACGATGCCTGCAGGCATTTTCCAGCCCGTGCCTTGTTTAAGGAGCCAGAGAGCAGAGCGTCCCAGACAGTTAAAACGCAATTGTTTGAGCATTGATGTTCTGGACCCTCACTGTGGCCTGGCCCTCTGCTTCCTGCCCGGCAGCCTGGCGCCCGTACTCAGGTTGTGTGGGCCCCACACCACGTGTATCTTGCTGCCCAACGCACTCCTTTTGCTAATCCTGGAGGCGGTGCCACCCCCATATGCTTTTCATAGAGCCGAAGTTCTATCACAGACCGTTTTGGGGCTGCTCCTACTCACCAGCCTGTGAGTGTGAGCTGCATGCAGCTGTTGCAGTTAAACATCTTTAACTTCCCAAAACCACACCAAGTGATAGGTACGTGGGGCTGCGTGTGGGACCTGTTCCCCGGGCCCCCATGAATACCGGGTTATTTACCATTGCAGGAGCTGGGAAAGTACGGCCTGCTCTATTACAACGCGCTGTTCATGATTCTGCCCACGCTGGCCATCGCGTATTTCACGGGAGAGGCGCAGAAGGTAGGACTTCTAAGCACTGCTTGGCGTGGGCCGGGCCGCCCACGGTCTGTGACTGGAGCGCGTGTGCTGTTGCCCGGAAATGCATGGACCGAGTGAGTGTAAGCAAGCAGCTTCCCCTGGCTTGCGGCCCTCTCACCTCCGCTTCCTCCTGACGTGTGCTGTGGGGCGCTGGTGCAGCCCGGATAGCACTGGCAATGTCCCTTTTCTTACTTGCCAGGGTAAAGGAAAGGAATTTTCACATTTCTGCTAAACTGGAAAATAGGAATAGTAGAAACCATCCTTGAGAAACAAAAACTCCTGAAATAGTAAAATTGTTTAAGCCCTAAACAAAATGATAGGCACCATGAGAATTCTCTGTCATCCTGGTTTAAATCCCAATTTGGGAGCCAGATATGGTGGAGCGTGCCTGTAATCCTAACACTCAGGGGGTTGAGGCAGGAGGATTTCTCCGAGTTTGAGGTCAGCCTGGGCTACATAGTGAGATCACGACCATCCTGGACTACACAGCAAGACTGTCTCAAAAGAGAAAACTTAAAAAAAATCCCAATTTGACTTTTTTCTTAAAGAGATACTTAGTACTCTGTGGTTCGACCATATAAATAACAACTGATACAGTAGTTTACCAATTTTCATTCTCTTTTTTAACCACTTTTCTGCAGATATTTGATTAAATAAATCCAGGATAGAATGCCAAAATACATCCAAAGGATTTATCTCTTAAATAAGCCCATATTCATACCTGCTTGGAGAAAAATAGATAACTACATTGTTAGAATTCATTGGGGCCAGAGATTTAGCTCAGTGTTTCTGCTGCCTGCCTCGCAAGCACAAGGTTTCAATCCCTGAAACACCCCCCAAAAAAAACCCAATTCATGAAGTTTTAGAAACCAGAAATCTACAATGGATTTCTCTCCCAGGTTTCCCTCTAAATCCCCTGGCTAGTAGCTTTTTCAAAATAAGTATGTCGGCCTGGGGATGTAGCTCAGTGGTGCTGCCACCTGCCTTGCGAGTGCAAGGTCCCAAGCTCCATCCCTGGTACCAAAAAAACAGTGTGCTGCTTATTTATTGGTACAACAGTGCTGATCCTCATAAATCGGTGGGAGCTGAAACACAGGTTTGTGGAAGCCGTTAGCCTAGAAAAGTTGCTCTTGGAACAGAGGCAGGATCCCCATCGTGACCTCTTGGGTTTTACAGCACAGATACCCCTGGGACGTGCGGCCATGTGGGACTGGGCTGTGCCTGGATTTCCCGCAGGCCTGAAAATGGGCACAGGCAGGAGGAGAGCAGCTGCTCTGGCCAGGAGCACTATGTATTCTGTAGCTGAAGAAACGGAGGAGAAACCCCGTTCATTGGGTCCGTGTCTTGTGCTAGGCTAGTGGCTTTATACGTGTGTTGTCACGCAGTCTTCGTGATGGCTCTCGGAGCTTTGCCTGTTTTACTGAGGTGGAAGTGGGGGTCCAGAGAGACTAAACAATCTGCCGGAAGTCAGGTCCATGCATCCCAGGGTTGGGGTTTAAGCCCCGGGTCTGCCCCAGAGGCTCTGTCTCTTGTGTTTCTTCCCCTGGCAGGCTTTGGCCTGAGCGCCTTTGCCTGGCTTCTGGGCAGAAATGTGTTGTAAATAGCCACACCGGGCAGGACAGAGGCTTCCAGTCCCAGGACAGACTGCATGTGAGAAGCTGGAGGCATCGCCATGGTCAGGTGTCCCGAGGCCGGCAGAGGGATTAAAGAAAACGCCCTTCATTGAGCTGAAATTTCTACTGCAGCCCTTGACGTTTCTTCCTCCCCGGATGACTGTACGCAGAAGTTACAGTGTGGTCTGTGCCTGTGTCCAGGGTTTCTACCCCCAGTTTGAGAGGCTGCAGCACAGTGAAGACATCTCTGCGGCAAGTGAAAAGTTCCTTTGCCTCCTGCATGGGGAGCCCATGCCTGTTTTCCTCTGACCCTGCCTTCCCTCTGTGTCTAGGCAGAAGAGTGCAACTTGAGCAGTCATTTTGTTTTTCGGATGGAAGTGCCAGGCACATGCCAAGAAAGGTTGATTTTGAAGAGCGTTAGCTCGTCAAAATATTCTCAACTTGGGATAATAATTATAGACACTCATGGATTGCGTATCATATCCCGTCAGTGTCTGGTTTCCACATAAATGTTTGTTCGTTCTCACGCTTAATGACCAGTTACTGTGGTTCTTAGAGAACATTTATTGGGCACAAATGGACAGCTGGCTTTCCTACAATGGTCTGCTCTTTTTGTTTTTTGAGACAGGACCTTGCTGTGCCATCCAGGTTGGCCTGGAACTCATTGTGTAGCCCAGGCTGGCCTTGAACTTTCAGTGATCCTCCTGCCTCAGCCTCCCAAGTGCTGGAATCACAGGCGTGCAGCCCTATGCTTGGCCTCTTTTTCTTAACAGTTTCTCCTTCACATGGTCTGTGTCTCAACATTCTCACAGAGTTGGGGTGTTGTGTGTCTCACTGTAGCTCAGCGTGTGACCCAGGTGGTAAGAAAGCGAAGCGGAGCGAGGGGTGGTCTCATCGCTGACACCAGCCAGCTGAGAGCAGCAGCCTTCATGGGTTCTGTGGAAGAGGTTTTGGGGGCCCTTGGGGTGCAGAATGAAAGTCGGTCAGTTCTACCTTTTCCTTGGGGCTGAAGGTAGACTGTTTCATGGAGATTCTCCTATAGACAAAATATAGATGGAGTGAGTAGTGGTGTTGCCTTGGTTGGTGCTGAGGAATTAAGTTGAGACTAGGTAGGTGAGAGCTCCGAATTGGACTGGTCCTCAGAGAGCCCCCACGGCCTCGTTCTGTGTTCAGGGTCTCTGTGTGTTGCTGCTCGTAAGCCGGGGCCACACTGGGAGACCCTCAGGGCTGGGACCCGGCTGTGCACACTGTCGGGAGGAGTCTGGCTGGCGAGAGACTCACGTGGGCCCAGCGCTGGCCCTGGCTGTGCTCTTGGGTGTAGAGGGTCTGGCTTCCTTGTCCACCAAACGGAGCTGGAGGCTCTGACTGGCTTGAGGCTGATTCGGAGGTCGGTAGCCGGGCGTTGGGTGGTTTGCTTAGAAGCCAATGACCCAAGCTATCCAAGAGGCTCCCGGGACTTCTTCCCACAGTGGTCACAGCCGGTGTGGGGGGCGGGGGGGTGGTCCTGAGGGTTCGCAGGCTGGCGGGGTGTGCGGCAGGATCGCAGGTCAGAGCTTTCCTGCCCTTCAGGCTCCCTGTCAGAGTGTCTCCTGTAGGTGAGGGCGGCCTCCTACGTGTGGCTCTGTGTGGACAGATGGGGGGGCTTGGAGAAAGGGCATCCCCAGATGGACAGTGTGGGCCTCTTCCAGGACACTGTGGACGTGGTCTCTTCGCTCCTCCTCCTCTTGTTCAGTGACTCAGTGCTTATTCCGTCAGGCGCCGTGGCAGGGGCCCTGCCAACCCTGCTCTTGCGGGCTGGGGTGCTAGTGGGCGGCGTGGCCTGCATGCAGATTCTTTGGGGGAGGCGAATGGTGGGGAGCTGCTGCTGTGGATGGGGCTCGTTCAACAAATACCTGCTGAGGGGACTGGGGGCCACGCTGTCGACTGGATGGGGAGCAGGTTCTGAGCCTGAGGGGAGCCAGCAATTCCGGAAGAGGTAACCACCAGGAAGGGCCAAGCCTGCAAGCCCAGCACCCAGGAGGCTGAGGCAGGAGGATCCTGAGCTCAAGGCCAGCCTGGCCTACATAGTCTGACCCCGTTGCAAAAAATAAAAGATAGAATAGGAGCAGAACGTGCATTTGAGGTGGAAGTGAGCAAGAACGAGCATCAGGGTGCAGAGCACCCCACACACCCCCGAGGTCTCCAGCTTCTAGGCCAGGCCCCAGGGCCCTGCCTCTGTTGAGGGTGAGGTCGCCAAAGCAACCTGTGAGTATAGGAGCAAAGCATGAGCAGCAGGAGATCCATCTGCAGGTAGTGTAAACACATCAGGTACTCACGTGAGTAAACTGGAAGAGTACACGTGAAAATGGAAACGTAGCTTCCAGTTTTCTGTGTACGGGTAGGGACAGGGCAAGGGGCGTAGGAGTGGTGGGGACCCTTGTTATTTCTGTGTGATTTCTACTGTAAGTCCATGTGAGGGTATTTAAAACTTACATTATAAAATGCAGAATGGGGAAAAGGGAAAGTTTTTCTATAAATGATTAGCACCCTGCGATGGAGTTACTGGGCCGCCGGAACAGACCAGTCTGCTCCCTTTTCAGAGCCACAGATGGCCCGGGTGTGCGAATTGAGTCCCCTTCCTTCCCAGCCGGAGGAGATTGCCATGCAGGGCGCAGCCGAGCCACTAGAGCTAGGGGCTGGGGCTGGAAAGGAAACTGCCTTCTGCCTAAGGCCTACCGGCAAGTTCCAGCTGCACAGCCCTTTCCAGCCAGTGCTAGGATGGGCCTTGGCAAAGCATGTGTGTGTGTGTGTGTGTGTGTGTGTGTGTGTGTGTGTGTGTGAGTGAAGTTTATTCAAGCTTGCACAATCTTGGGTTTCTCAGGAGCCGAAGAACCAATATAGTTAGCATTTAGTTTTTAAATCTTGTATCTTCTAAAACATACTTAAAAATAAGCCCCTCTGTGCAGCAGTTGGCCCAGGGTCCCCAGAGGCCCCTGGTTCACCCGGCAAAGGCACAGGTGCCCTGGATGAGAGCAGATCCAGGGGAGCCCGGTGGGCGGGAGGAGGGAGGGAGGAGGGAGGCGCGTCCTCCGGGTGGGCTGAACCCTGCTGGGGCACCGCAGCCGCACAATGTGCTCCTGTGTCCTGGGCTCAGTGCCGCTGATGACTCCGCCCGAGGGGCCTGGCTGGGCTGTGGGCTCCCTCTGCTCTTGGTTGCCCTGTGGAGCACGGTGTTTCCTTCTCACTGGGCCAGGTCTTTGTGTTCTCGTCCTTGGCAACAGTGGGGCGGTCGGTCCTCGTCCTGCATGGCCGTCTGCCTTGGCTCGGGTTGTCAGGCCGACTGTGCCGGTGTCCTGTGCGAGCGTGTGTGCTTCAAGGTGGAGAGAAGCCACCTGGGGTAGTGCGGGGCCCAGAGACCTGGGCCATTGAGCTCTGATCAACCGTGGAGCGGGCCTGTGGGTCCTGGGTGGCGCGGGCTTCCTATGCCTCCTGTGCTGAGAACCTGGACTCGTGCTGGAGAGAACGAACAGCTGTGCAGCTGCTGTGAAAACACTCGGGCCGTTTCTCGGCAAGTAAACGCACCCAGAAGAACCATCGAGCCTGGGTTCTGGATCTGCCCAAGTTGATAAAGGAGGGGCCAGGCTTCAGCTGAGGTTCTCTGCAACTCTGTTACCAGGGCCCAGTGGAAGCACCAAGCGGGAGTCTGGTGGCTGGGAGATAAACACGTCCTGTCTGTGAGCTGGGAGCTGGTGCACCCAAGTGTGGGTAGAGCACACGCACGGCGCGTGCCCCTGAGGACTGTGCAGGGCCTGCTCTGCTCGCCAGTTGGAGTAGGGTTTCCTGAGTGTGGCTGTCACTGTGTGTCCCAGCTTAGTGTACCGTGGCTGCTGTCTGCCCAGCACGGTGTGGGGCTGGAGACAAGAGCAGAGGCTGCTCTGTCTGTAAAGCAGGGGGCTGGAGAGTGTAGGGGAGCGGCGAGAGGGGAGTGTTTGTCACACCCGCTTGTCCCCCAGGAGCTGCACAGGGACCAACCCCCCTCTCGGACGGACCACAGTGACCTGGGCCACGCACCTCTCGTCGCTCTTTCATTTTGGTTTAAAACGGACAAAAACACCCTCAGCAGAAGACTTGCATTTCCAGTGATGTCAGCAATCGAGAGAAGCCAGATGTGTGGCCAGATGTGCTCGTTCTTTCCAGGAAATTGCGATTTCTTTCCACCAAGGGGAGGTGTCCAGAGGCTGCCCTGAAAATGCTTCTTGGCTGCAGCCCACATGGGGGAACTGCTTGGCATTGCTCTGTCTGTGGCGGGAACACGCAGCTGTGTATGTGTGCATGTGTGTGTGCGTGTGTGCGTGTGTCCTGGGCCGTGCTTACAAGAGCATCTCCATTCATGCCCGAGATGGTTGAGGCCGGTGCCTCTCTCACGCCTGGCACTTTCTCGTGTGTTGCAGGCGCTGGAGTTTGAAGGCTGGGCTGACACCCTCTTCCTTCTGCAGTTCGTCCTCTCCTGTGTGATGGGGTGAGCCCGCCTGCGCCTTGCCTGGTGCAGATGCTTCCCCTGGAGTTGCCCCCACTGCTCCCAAGGAGGCTTTGAGCCCCTGGTGTGGCCCCTGGACTGCGGCTCTGATCCAGGCCCCGCTTGTGACAGGCAGCTCTCTGTCAGCAGTGCGTGACGTCCTTTGCCAGGGAGCCTTTGACTCACGCTGCTGCTCCTTGTGCAGAGCAGGACCAGAGCCCGGGGAGTTAGTGGGGTGGCTGTGGTGGCATTCGCTGTCTTCCTCATAGTCGGGAGCGTGAGAGGGCACTGCCAGCCTGCCTTGTCCGCTCACCCCGAGTGTGTCCCGCCCCTGCCCTCAGCCACCTGTATCTTCGGCCATTGGCTGTGTCTGATGGCCGGCACGGGCCGGGTGTTGGAGGTGCCGGGCACCAGAGAGCCACGGCCGCCCTGCTGTGTAAGTGTGGAGCCCTGCCCAGCGGCTGGTGAGCTGCCCGCCCTTCCCCTGGTCCTTGCTTCTTTTCTTCCAGCCCTAAGAGTCTTTCTCACCCCCATCCCAACCCACAGGCCACAGCATCCTGTGGGAGGTGCTGTTTGCCGGGTCCAGAGTTCCTGGTGGTCCTGCCGGTGATGGTGACGGCGAGGTCACGGCACCGCTGGGGGTGGCAGAGACACAGCATGCAGGGGCCCTCCTTGTGACAACGCCTCTCTCCCTCGCCCAGGTTCATCCTGATGTATGCCATTGTGCTCTGCACGCAGTACAACTCTGCGCTCACAACCACGATTGTCGGCTGCATTAAGGTGAGCTGGAGCAAATACTGTCTCCTGTGGTTGTCCGCTTTGGGTACAAACTTCCTCTGGAATAAGAATCGGGTGAGGCCTCAGATCTGCAATCCGCACTCCGTCAGACTGCCGTCATAGCCCGACAAATTGTGACGATGGTTTCTAGAACAATCGTTAGGAGCTTGAGGAAGGTGTGGCCTCTCCTTGTGGGCACTTAGCTCTGAGGGCCGTGGGAGGAAGATCTTGGAGCAGCTCGGCTGCAGGAGGAAGGAGAGGTAGGCAGGTGGTGGCTTGGTGGCGAAGGGCCCGGCCCTCTGTCTTCCAGCCAGGCCCGTGCTGCTCTCCACCTTGCACTGTCCGGGCTGCCAGAAGCTGATCGAGGGACTTGCCTGAGCCAAACCCGAAATGGCCGCTTTCATGAGCCGTGTGCGACATCTCCCTGCTGTCACTTCTCTGTCCGATTCGTGGAGGGAGACACTAAGGTTCTCCGATGCTGCGGCCTGTTTCTTCTGACTTGTGGCCCTGGGGCCATAAAGTGGCCATGGCACGTCCACGTCCCTTGTGGATTAGCAGAGTGGGCCTGTGTCGGTCACAGGCAAGCCGAGTGTGTCCATGTCCCCAGGGAGGGAGAACCACCGTCCCGGACGTCTCCGTCGTCTGCAGTGGCGGGGTCCACAGAGGGCTGGTTCTTCTCACCAGTCTGCTGTTTCTCTCTGCACCCGTGGAGAGGGACCCTCTTTGTCCTGTGTTAGAAGCCAGATGGGGTTAGAACTCCTGGGTCTGTGGCTCCAGGTTGTGGAGTTGGAGTGTTTGGTAAGGTAGGCAGAGAATTCTAAATTAGATCTAACAAGTCAGCCGTGTCAGTTCCCAGAGAGCGGAGATATGTTTGAGGGACAGGCCGGCCTGCCAACACTTTCATCCCACAGTCGGTTTGGTTGGGTTTTGGTTTATAAAATGAGTATCTGAAGCTGGAGGGGCCACTCACACTTTCAGGGGACACAGGCGGCTGGCTGAGGTGAGAGGTGCGGGAAGGGCCGATGTGTAGTTTAGATAACAGCACTGTGTGCACATTGCCGTGGCCATCATGGGACACAAGCACAGCAGCGTCCTATCGCCGTGAGGTCTGTACTTGTCCTGGACACGACGCTCCTCTCACAGTAGTGCGGGAATCCCATGGACTTGCTCGGTCCAGAGGACTCGCTTTATTTCAAACTGCAGAGGAAGGAAAGCACGGGGTCACTGGTGAGGCCCTGTTGCTTTTCTCTGGCGCGTGGTGCTGCTCTGAGCACGGCGCTCCCTCACCAGTGGGCATCCACAGAGCCCTGCGGGGCGCCTGGCGCACAGATCCTGCTTCTGTGCTGCTGTCCCCCAGGGGCCCTGGCCCTTCCTTCTGCACTTCAGGATCTCAGCCTACAAACCCTTCGATTGGATTCCTTCTTTCTCTGAGGTTGTGGGAAAATCACTTGGGATTATAAGTGAAAAATGGAAATTCCCAGGCCTCCTACAGATATACTGAGTCACAGTCATAGAAGAGAGCCTGGGAATCTTCATGTTAATCAGGGTTTTCGGATGATTTCCAGGGACACTCAGGTTTGAGCACTGCAGTCTAGGCTCTGAGCTAGCAGGATATTCTTCTCTACTTCCCAGTAAGTTCAGTTTGGAGGAAGTTGGTGTCTTGCCCTGGTGGCGAACCTTTTTTGAGGAAACCATTGTGTTGGTCAGCTGTACCATCACCGGGAGCAAATATCTGACACCCGCAACTTCAAGGAGGAGAGCAGGAACATCCTGGCAGAAGGGCTGGTGGGGCACAGCTGTTCAGTCTTGGCGGCTGGGAGCAGTGCCCAGAAGAGCACCAGCAAAAGCAAGCGGTGGCCAGTGCTCCAGAGGCGGCGCTGGGATCCCTCCTCCACCTGCGCCCCTCCTAACAGCACATCCTGCCAGGAACAGCAGTCACTTAGAAATGTGAAAGAAGGGAGATTGGGACAGAAGGAAACAGTCATTTGATACAATGTTGAAAGTCGTTTTCTGCTTTTGTTATTTGACGATTATGTAAAGGGAGCCAGAACAAGTTTGTAGCTGGGGTATCATAGGAGAAATGACTTAGACATAATTCTTTGACATGACATCTCACATATTTTTTAAGATATCGAGAGGAACCGTTTCTTGGTCTTTTGGCTAAGATCAGGTGTAGTATCTGTTCTTACCAGTTTAAGATACCAAGAAGATTCTGCTACGCACGGTCTCCGTGTTGGTTAAGTCCGCACCATCCCCGTTGCCTCTTAAGGAAGATGCTTGCACATAAGCAGGCTTCCTTCTTTGTGGTCCCCTCACAAGCCCACGGTCATCCAGAGGGAGGGAGAGGCCCCCTGTCGCCCTGCACAGGCAGGGGCAGTCTGATCGTGTCCTCCATGTTCTTTACCCATGAAGGCATTTGTCTTCCAGGGGAGCAGATTGGGAATAAGCCAGCGTCATGAGTGCCTCGCACATCTGTGCCACCCTGCACTCAACTGAGGCTGATGGGTTTCTCTTCTTAACTGTATTTGAGTTTTAAGGATGGATATTGGGGTCGCAGCATGAATGAGTGTATATGTACTTTTTAAAATCTCAGTGAAACCTGTGTAACAGTATTTTGCCATTTTTCTTTTTAGAATATATTAATCACTTATATTGGAATGGTCTTTGGTGGAGATTATATTTTCACATGGACAAATTTCATTGGTTTAAATATCAGGTAAGTGAAGATGTTAATTATAACACACTGACAAGTGTCTCGGTAAGGTGGAGCTACTAATTGTATGGCAGATTTGCTCACATAGTAAATGAACACGCTGGAGTCCCAACAGTGTGCCGGACAGTTCATGCTGCTGCTGCACGATGTGGTTTTTTTTAAGAAAGGGGGAGAAAATGGTTTTGGCATCTGTGCACAGAGCTTGGGGATTCCTGTGTGGAAGCTGAGCTCCCCTCAGCTACCTGCCAGCCGTGTAAGCATTGCACTGGAGCTCAGCACGCGGGTGTCGTCTGCTGCCCCTGCTGTCCCTGGGACGGCCTTGGGACGGCACTGCTGCCAGCTGCTTCAGTGGCAGGGCCGCGACATTGTTCAAGAGATCTTTTCTTCAGTTTTAGCAATTTGAATTTCATGGTTTTAAAGATTATTTAAATGCCGAAAAACTACCAATTTCTGTTTGGACCAGACTTGTCCCAAGTGGGACTTGGCTGTTCCCCAGCCCCTGAGCCTCCACTGACAGAATGCAAGCGTGTGCTCCTTTGTTCCCCCAAGTGCTGTCATCTTGGGAGCCCCACTCCAGCCGCTCAGCTCAGGAGCCTGCACGCGCCCCGTGCCTTTCTCCCTGGCCAGTGCAGCAGCAGATGTTGGCAGAGTCGCTTCTCACGGGCAGCGACCTGTCATCGTCTCGTGAGCCCAGCCCGCCTGGCCGAGGCTGTGGCCGTGGATGTGCATGTGCTGGGCTGGATTCCCTGACCTCCCTGCCCCTGGCCATTTCTCGGCACAGTGGACAGCCTGTGCTTTGTACACAAAGTCAGATGTGTTCTTGTAACGCCCTTGCCCCACCGTCCTTGTGACCCCTGTGAGCCCTGTCCCTCTTCAGCCTCCAACTCCAGCCCCTGCCCCTGCTGTCATCCCTGTGGCACTGTCTGCCGCTCTTCGAGCTGTCCCTGTGAGCTCTCGGGCTCGGCGTTTTCTCGGCCTGGAGCAGTGCACGGCCAGGAGGTTTGGTGAGATTCTTCACACCTGTGTTTTTGCTCAGCTCTTACCTTCTCAGGTAAACCTACCTGATCGCCACATTGTAAAGCTCATCCTCAACCATGCTCTGAATCTATCTTGGCTTTTGTATTTATCTTTCCCAGAGTATTGAATCATTTTCTAATGTGCTATATAATTTCTTTTCTGTGTTTACTTTTTCTTCTCTCCTGGAAGAGTATGAGTTTCATAAGGGTAGAAATTTCTGCCTGTGTTATTCACTGATATTTTCCAGGCTCCTAGAATGAATGCTGGTAGTTGCTTAATAAATACTTGTGCGATGAATTCTGTATGGATGGGTGAAAGAACACTTTAGAAGTGGTAATGCGCTCCACTGGCATCCCTTTAATTTGTAGCCGGCTGTCTAACCGTTCCGACCTCTCGTGTCCTTGGATGTAGATGGTACTTGGGAGTCAGTGTGGGGACTGACTGTCCGTAGGCTGCTGGCTCACTTTGGCCCTTCCCTGGCCTGCCCCCTTTGTCCTTCAGAGGAAAGTCCTGTGTGGGTGTGGGGCTGGGGCCTGAAGGCTGGAGGCCGTCGCGGGGAGCTGTGCAGTCGGGTGTCTGGCCTTGCTTTGACTTCAGTTGATGCTTGGGTTCTTTGTGACATTGAGCAAATTGTTTACTTCTCTCGGTTTCAATTTTCTTGTGTTGACATGAAAACAATTTTCACTTTAGAGATGTCTAAGGGTTGCCAGGCACCTGTCCACAGCTTTCTGTTTCCTCTTTCATGAATGTTTGGGAGGAAGGACTGGGATGTCTGGAGTGACGTGGCGATTCTCCTCTGGCTCTGAGTGTGGCCTGGTGCCATTCATTTCCGACACTGGGGATACAAATACAGACCTGACCCAGAGGTGACGTACAAAACCGGCACACGTCATGGTCTGATAAACTGAGAAGGAAATGTATTGGCAAGAACAAAGTGTGTGTGAACAAACTTCACCAAGGAAGTGGAAACTCTAATATAACGAAAATATAAAATAAAATAAATAAGGAAGATCCAAATAAATAGGACAACAACCCATCCTCCTGGGTTCAAGACTCAGTACTGCTCATGTTAAGTTGTCCATATCCACACCACCCAAAGCAACCTGCAGATTCAGTGCTGTTCCTATCAAAACCCCAATGGCACTTCGTACAAAAATAGAAAAAAAATCTTAAAAATCATATGAAATAAGACCCAGAATAGCCAAAATAATTTTGAGAAAGAGCGAGGTAGAGGCATCATGCCTCTGATCTCCTAATTTATTACAAAGCTACAGTAATTCAAATGTGGCACTGGCAGAAAGGCATCTAGGCCAACAGAACAGGAGAGACCAGAAATGAACCCACACGTATATGAGCACTTGGAATTTTTACAAAGTGCCAAGGAACGTACAATGGAAGAAGATGATGTCTTCAACAAATGCTGCTGGGAAATTTGGATATCCACACATGAAAGAAGGAAATTCACTCTGTCTTACACTGTACTCAAAAGCAACTCAAAGTAGACTGAAGACGTACGCCTGAGACCGAGAACTGTAAAACCTCTGAAAGAAAACAAGGGCCAGTGCGCGTGACGTTGCTCTTGGCAGTGATTTCATGGGTCTAACGCCAAAGGCACAGGCAAAAATAAGACGAGTAAAGGCTAGAAATCTGCACAGAGAGACAGCCACAGAGTGGGACTAGATATTGTAGGGGCTGATTTCTAAAATAGGTAAAGAACTCCTGTGACATCTCCAACAAGAAAGCCCCCTGATAGATGGGCAAAGGTCCTGCGTGAACATTCTCAAGAGGAGATGTATGAATGGCCGCAGGTGGAGTGGGGCCAGCGCTGGTATGGGTCAGGGAAGCACTTGTCAGAACCACAGTTAGACACTGTCTGGTCGGGCGGCTGCTGTCAGGAAGCAAACAAATAACAACAACATCGATGTCGGTCGCACAGTGGGGAAATGGGCAGCGTTGGGTGCCGTGGATGGAAATGCACTGGCGCAGCAGCTGCAGACCGCACTGGAGACTCCCTCAGAAAGGAGGTGCCACAGAGCCGACTCTCCCCGTCAGGCCCAGAATCCTGATCTTCACAACAGCGGGGTGGGCAGACAACCCAGGCCTCTGTGGGTGGGGAGGAAATGGGGGGTTCGAACAGTGAAGTCATCTCAGCCTCCAAAACAAGGAAACCCCGTCCTCTCTGACAGCGTGGATGGATGGAAGGAGTGTGCTCAGTGGATAGCACAGAAGGTGAGAACGCGCCATTCCACACCTAGTGCAGCGGCTGAAATCGGCTTCTCAGAGTGGGTAGAGCAATGGTGATTGGCAGGGCCTGAGGCGCGCAGGAGCTGACGCGGAGTTAGCTCCCTGCTCCCTGTCAGAGGGAAGGTGTCGCGCCCTGCCACGGTGACAAATCACCCGGGACAGTCACTGGAAGGAAGGCGGCTGGACCTTGTCTCCCCTGCGTGGGCCAGGCAGAGCCTAGGGCGCAGGCCACCCTGCGAGCCGCTCAGACGGGGCGCTCGGAGG